CGCTTGCGAACACACACATACATATTGTAGTAGTTTCTTTTCTTTTTTTTTTTTTTTTTTTTGGTTTTAGAGACAGGGCTTCTCTGTAGCTTTGGAGTATGGAGTCTGTCCTGAAACCAGGCTGGCCTCCAACTCACAGAGATCTGCCTGCCTCTGCCTCCCAAGTACTGGGATTAAACGAAGTAACCACACAGAAACTATATTATTTATATCACTGCTTGGCCAATTAGCTCTGCTTGACCCATTAGCTCTAGTTTCTTATTGGCTAACTCTTACATATTAATTTAATGCATTTCTAGTAATCTGTGTATCGCCACATGGCTGTGCTTTACCCTTTACCATGGGGCTCCATGGCTTCTCTCTGATTCTGCCCTTCTTTCTCCCAGCATTCAGTCCAGTCCTCCCCACCTAGCTCTGCTCTGCCCTGCCCTGCTCTGCTATAGGCTCAAAGCAGTTCTTTATTCATTAATGGTAATCACAGCATACAGAGAGAATCCCACATCAATTAAAAGTGTGCACCACCACCACCTGGCAGAGTTCTTACCTCTATGAAATCCTCAAATCAAAAAGGGCTGAGCTCCTGTCTCCTGCTTTATATTCCTCTCTCTGCCCAGCCATCTCATTTCCTGTCTCTACCTCCCTAGTGCTGGGATTAAAGGTTTGTGATCCCAAATGCTGGCATCAAAGGTGTGAGCTCTGTTTCTCTATCATACTGGTTAAATCCCTCTTAGCCGAGTGTGGCCTTGAACTCTGGATCTCTTGGCTTCCACCTCTCAAGTGCTGGGATTAAAGGTATGTGTTATCACTGCCTGGCCCCCATGGTTAACTAGGAATTAGCTCCACCATCTCATCTTCAGGCAAATTTTATTTGTTAGAGCAAAACAAAATATCACGTGTGTGTGTGTGTGTGTGTGTGTGTGTGTGTGTGTGTGTAGGCATGCGCAATGCGGCAGGCACACATGTACATATGTACATATCTTTTTCATTTGGTCATCTTTTTAGAAATTCTGTGAAAATAGAAAAAAAATAGAAAACATTTTAAGACCACTTGTTAACATACTTTAACAGGAAATACCTGTAGTGAAACAACCTCCTTCACTATGTGCCATCCCTTAAAGGATTCACCACCTCTTAAGACCATCCCAGTGATGTAGATGGAGCTTCCACAGCTAAACCTTTGGGCTACAAATAAACATAAAAACTATAGGAACTATAACAACAAATAATTCTATCACTGAATTTTATAATAAGCCATATCTTCTCTGGATTAAACATGTCAAAATTTAATTCACATTGTAGAGATATGCAAATCTTATTTTAAGCTTTACCTTTTGAAAATGAGCATGATTAATTCTTATATTCAGGTGAGGCTATGATCAATGCGCTTTTCTTAATATTTTATTTCCATTGCATGAATATATTTGCATATGCTCGATATTGTATATCCAAGTATATAATTACACACATATATTATACATACTATAAATATATATGTATATTATAATTTTTTCCATGTTAGTACATGCCTTCATCACCACACTCAGAGGCAGAAAAAAATAGGTCTCTACGAAATTAAGGCCAGTTGTGTATGCAGCAAGTTCCAGACCATGCAAGAATATACAAAGAGACCCTGTCTCCAAAAGGAAAAACAAAAGAAACATAAAAAGAGCATGATTGTGGTAGAAAGATAAGCCTATGATTAATCAACACATCATTAAATAAAAATGTAAATTGTAATTCGTAAAAATTTTCCAAATATTTTATGTCAGATTCTTAGTAAAAAAAATCCTCTTTTTAGAAAAAAAAGTATAAAATGTTCTTTTTGTGTTAGAATCAAGTCCATGGTGCTAATATTTTTAGAATGAATTATTAATTAAATTTATTAATTTAATATTACTTCCATTATGGTAACATCATGAGTTGGCAAAGGTGTCTTAAAACTACTTTAGTGTAGCAAAAATAGCTTGTTGTCTGAACATTGGTGTAAGATCATATTTTATATTGCTTTCTTTTCCATCTCACTTTCATACATAGAAAACCATAAAGTATACTTTTCGCATAGCAGCTATAAAAATCCTATTAAAAGCCAATTATTCTCAATGTCATTTTTGCCAAAAACATACATTTTGTTTGCTTATATCAATAAGCTGTAAAACCTCTTCTCAATGCATAACTAATGTAAAATTATGACAACAAAGTGTTCCTTTAATAGGGGATCCTGCACTTTTAGTTTTCTACAGATTAAACTAGGCCCTAGGTAAATTTTGCAGTATCCACTTTATCCATTTTTTAAAGGGCTACATGTTTTCTTACAGCAAGTCATATTTCACACCTCAGGGCACCTCACCCGTGGCCAACAGGGAAGCCGTTAAAGTGGGAAATGTGAATGATCCTTCTCCCATGTTACAGGTATGGTGGTTTGAGAATTTTCAACGTCTTTCATGAAAGGTGCACAAAAAGTAAATCCGTGTCTGTATCTCATTACATTTTTCCCCCAACAGTAAATCTGACAACTCTGCTATTTATTCACAGTAGCAATATGCACAGCTTTGAGACAAAAAAAAAGTGCTGAAGGATTAAAAAAAATATTTCCCTTGGTGAATTTCTCCATTTTGTGTTAGTCAGAAACATCTTTAAATACTGTATGACATTATTATTTTATTATAAAGGTTTATATCCCCCTTCACTTGTAAGCATTGAAAAGCATCAACATTTTTATGAAAATACCTACAACGTCATATAGAAAGACCCACAAAGTAATAGTATTTGCAAATAAAATATGGACTCGATATTTTCATGCTAGCGAATGCCATTCTCACTGATTGGGCACTTACTTTAAAGCAGGCATTTTCATTTTAATATCTCAGTAAGTGTTTTACAATAGTCTAAGGTAGATATTGTGTTCATTTTGCTAATGAGAAAAAATAAGTCTTAGTGAAATTAACTAAATTCAATATAAATCTAAAGGGAAATACCCATAGGAAAACAATGCTGTCATTTTATTTTCCATAAATGCTTTACTCCCTGTAAAAACATGAAATGAATAGGGTTAGTATTAATCTTCATGTACCTACTCCTTCTCAGCAAAGTCTTTCTCGTATATTTTGGCCACAGAGGAAGACTTTAATATTCACAACTGAATATCAGTTACCTGCAGGCAATGTAGAAAATGTTCTCAAAATATTTTAACAAGGAACATCACAGTTTCCTTGGCCCTTGTTTTGTAAGAAGTATTTGATATTTAAACTTTTCTGGGAGATGATGTATATAGCATACACTTTTTTTCTTCATATCTCTACTGATTTGTCCCCCCACCCCCATGGTGTTTCCATTGTTTACTTTTGAACACATGATGTACAGGAGACTCAGAAACAAAACTCCAAAGCAGTGTATCTTTGCTGAAAACCATGATAGAATCTCAGAAGCCACATCTCTTGCACTTTCTGCATGTCTTTCATAAGTTGTCTCCCTCCCACAAACAAGCTATAAAATTGATAATAATCTCTCTAAGGCAAGTTCAAGAAACTCTCCACAAACACAGCTCTAAAATATGTAACTACTACTTTAAATAACTCATGCTCTTGATTGAGATAGTCATAAAGAAAATGTCTGGTCTAACCTGAGAGTTGTCTTAAGAAAGACCCGTGTTTTGGAAGGAGTCATGGAATGCCACACAGAGAAGTCGAGAAACCACTAACCAGGCCTTGCTAGGTTCTCCTTACTCTATAACTACTCTCTACCATTCGCTCACTTCTCCAGGGCTGTGCATTCATTTAGTGGAGAGTTCAACAGCTTCCCTTGGACCTGTAGGTCATGTAACACGTAACACGTGATTGTGCTTTTCTCTGATTGGCCTGGCTTTAGCTACAGAAATGTCAACGATCCTTATGCTGGGTAATAAAGACAGCACGTCCTTTTGCTTCCATAAATTTTATCAGACACATTGCATTTTCTTCAGTGCTTAGTATAAAAAATGCATTAAAAAAAAGATAGAAGAGGAGACGTTGCTGGTGGCAGAGGCCTGCAATCCTAGCACTCAGTAGGCTAAGAAAGGAGGGCGGAGTTCTAGGCCACACTGGACTACTGAGCATTTACTGTCTCAAATAAATAAATAAATTTTAAGAAGAAGAGCTCAGAGCATGTGTCATTAGTCTCTTTTTCTGATACCAAGTACACAACTGAAACGTAAGGGGATTTTTGTCTAAAAATCTTCGAGTTCTTGAAAGTTGTTAAAAATCAAGTTAAATAAACATGATATAACTGAATAAGAACTGATGATAATACAAAATGTTGAAATAATATTGTTCAAATTGTCCTGAGATATTTAAAGATCTTGTGTAAATAATCCAAAAGATTACAAAACATAAACAAAGCCAGATATTAAAATATGTGACATATATGCATATAAAATCTTAAAGACCCTATAAAGCTTTCAAAACGCATCAAATAATAGGCACGGAAAATTTAGATTTTAATGTACCACTTTTATTTATCAATTCAAATGATCAACTGTCAGAAGACATTCTTTAAAAAAAAAGTCTCTGGAGGTCAACAATACACCAGAATATATTAAACGTGTGTGGATTGGAGTGACGTGAAGTTATAAATATTGTCTTCTTTATAAAAAGGTATAAAGAAGATGGGATAGCCAAGTATTACCAATTTATAAAAGATACTCAAAATGTTGGTCAGCAAAAGAGATAACAGCAGATTTAAGGGACTGCATAGCCACTGAACACACTATTCATCTTTCAAAGATTTCAAAATAGAGGAAGGAAAAGAAAAGCAACTGGTCCTCACAACACTTTGAAAACTTCTGGGATGTAGGAGGTGCTGCTGGGCACCCAGTTCTTGCTGGGTTAAAACTGGCCCTAGTGTAGCTAGGCCTCTCTCTTCTCAAGACACTAGCAGGGTCCTTGGCGGTTGCTCTGCACGGGTGAGAATTAGGAAGTTCTGACTTCTCTCCAACACACCCCAGGCCAAGGACTGGGGCACCCGGAAGTGCCCATGGGTGGGGCCGGCGTCCCTGGAGCACAAATCCGGAGCTTCCGCGTGTGCAGAGGGGCGGGGCGCTGATTGCTCGGGGGGCGGGGATGGCGCAAGCCCCGCCCCTGCGCCACGCCCTCTGGCTATGGCCAGGGCCGGGGGCCGTCCGGATCCGGATCCGGATGCGGGTCCGGGTCCGGGTCCGGGTCGCACAGGCCGGCGGCGGCTTCTCTGAGCGGCCGCTCGCCGCCGTCTTGCGGCGGGCGCGCGCCCTGCTGTTCCAGGCGGAGCTGCAGCAGGGCCCGGCGGTACATGACCTCCAGCTTCTCCAGCCGGGCCCGCAGCGCCCGGGGGCTGCCCGGCTCGTCGTCGGGGCCTCCGCCTCTCGCCTTGCGGTGGGTGGCAGGCTCGTCCGGGCCTCCGAGGGTGGCGTCCGCGGCGTCGCGCTCGTCGGCGTTGTTGTCGCCGGGCGGCAGCCGCAGAGCCTGGCGGAAGAGGCTGCGGTTCTCGCGCTTCAGCCGCCGGTTCTCCAGGCGCAGGCGGGCGTTCTCCTCGCGCAGCCGCGCGTTCTGCCGGTCCCGCTCGTCGCGCGCGCGCACGGCCTCCAGGTGGCTGGCGGCCAGGTCGGCGAAGCGCTCCTCCAGCTGTCGCCGGGCACCGCCCGCGCGGCCTCGCCAGCCCACGCCGCCGCCGCCGCCGCCGCCGCCACAGCCGCTGCCGCCGCCCTCACGGCCTAACTCGCCCCGGCTGCCGCCGCCGCCGCCGGTCCCGCCGCAGCTCCCGCGCCGGGTGGCGCCACCACGCATGCGCCACATCGGTCCGGTCGGGTCGAGCCGCCAGCTCCGAGGGCCGAGGGGCCGCGCGCGCGGGGGCGCGGGCGATTTGAGGCCCGTCCGGGGCGCTCGGTGGCGGGCGGAGGAAGAAAGGTGGCGGGGCGGCTCTGGCGGGAGGCCAGGGGAGGCCGGGAGTTGGCCCGAGCTGAGGCGTGTCCTTGTCTCTGGCGGCCGAGCGGCCCCCCGGGCCTGCGGTCGGTCCCTGCTTGGCGCACACACGACGCCCCTGGGGATCGCTCTGCTGCTCAGCCCGGTGTCCGCGCCAGGGACAGCAGTGTCCTCCGCTGGGTGCTGCCACGGCTTCCCTGCCTGCGGACTTGGGCACTGCGGGAACAAGCCCGCCTCGCCCTGCTCTCCTGCACAGCCTCCAGGGCTTACCTCGCCACTTACATAGGAGGCTCAGAACTAATAAAATGAGTTCTGAGACGTCTATGGGGCAAATTGAATTGATAATTACACTTTTTGGAAGCTACCCGCTTAACCACGCCCATGTTTAAGACTCACAGGACATTATTGGCCTGAGCACCTGCCATGGGGTGCTTAGAATCCAACAGGTAGCAGTACTCCAAGCATTGGAGTAGATCCCAATTTCTGGCCATCCTTTTCATTGGAACTTTATAATAAAGCTATAAGGGGACGTTTGTTCAGGACAGTCCTCAGAATATATAAAATTCAAGACTCATAATTTAGTTGAGATGCTGAAATTCAGCAGGTTCCAAACTATCTGGAGAGAATTGGATATACATTGTTGGAAGCACGTTTCTTGTTTTCCCTAGGATCTCAGTTTACCAATGCCTTGTATTATTGCAAAGTAAAAGATTACATACTGAAGTCAGAGTCTTTGAGAAATATATAGTAACAATCTGTTTCAAGCAAGGTTCTGTTAAATTTTTAAATTCCATAAGATCTCCAAAACCATTGGAACAAGGAGACAAACAGGTAGCACATAGAAGAACTATGGTTGAAGTAAGTAGCTAGGAGAACAAATAGTTAATCATGATCCTCTATTTTTTTTTTTCCAGCAAACGCTAAACTACCACAAATTTACTTTAGCCTAAACAGTCATTTCCTGGAATAAGTAACCAATTCAGTGGATTTAGTTAAAGGAAAAGCTGTCATTTCTTAATGTACATTAAAAGCAGACAGAACCTGACCTCTCTGTAGACTACTGAGCCAAGAATATGTTTTTTCTTGGTGTATCCAGAGAGTATAGTAGGGCGGAGAAGATTCGCTCCCTTGGTTTGGTTGTGACAACTATTAAGAGTCTGGAAAAACTGCATACCTCATAAGAGAGTATAATAAAAATAGGACAGGAATCACCACCTACATATTATAAATTAGGTAACAACCCGTTTTTATTAGCTCTCCTCGTTTTATCCCATTTATAAAATTATAGTGTTTTACTATTTTCCAGATTCAAGTTGTGCCACTTCTCTTGTACACTATCTTACACTCAAATGCTGCATTTGTCTCTTAATGTTTTGCTCAAGAATACTGGCCCTGGTTGAAGAGGAAGGCAGACCTCCATGGTCTCCTATTCAGACCCCACTCAGCTAATAAATACTTCTATCTTCGTTATGAAGTAATGCTTGACGTCCTGTCAAGCAGATACAACAGATTAGAGAGGATTACAGTTATATTACTAGTCTGTTTACTACTGCAAGTAATTATATGTATTTTCAAAAGAGAACAGAATCTTAATATTGTGATTGTGCAAATGTGATGTGCATTTTCTTGTAAAAGAAGAGGAAAGGTAAAGAATGGAAACAACAAAAAGATGAGTAACAACCAAAAAGATGAGTAAAACTCATGAAGACTGTCTTTTATAAAATATTTACCATTTAATGTGTGGGTACTTTGTCTGCATGTCTGTGTGTCTTAAGTATGCCTGGTGCCTCCAGAGACAAGACAAAGACATTGTCAGATCCCTAGGACTGGAACAGTAGGTTGTAAGCATCTGTTGGAGATTGAGAAAAGAACTTGGTTCCTCTAGAAGGCTTAAGAGTCAGTGCTCTTAATTGCTGAGTCAAGTCTAAAATCCTGAAGGTTGCCTTATTAATGAACATTCACCTATGGATAAAGGAGAGTCCATCAGTATTCCTCAACTGGAATTGAGAACAATGTAATTAAAATAAAATTAAAAAGGGGTTGGGGACAACAGAGTGATTCAAATGATCACTACCAAAATTATTGGTGTATATTTAAATTTAGATTTATTTAGAGTAATATGTCAATAATTGTATAACCTAGAAATCAATATTGCATTTATAGAAATTGTAACTAGTACATTATACTTCCTCATATAATTTATAGTGGTCTACACATAAAAATACTACAATAGTGGGTATAATAAGTATTTCATTTATATGAAAATAAAAAACTCATAGAAAATTATGGAACTTTGCTAATGCTAAAAGCATGGTGTTGCAATAGAGCTTAGAAGAAGAAAATGTATAAAATATAAGAATTCCTAGGAAATACAGACTCCTTCATTTCATGAACAGATGCTTCCGAAGAGAAGCATCACCTGCTGGCTTCCTGGAAAGGTCTTTAAGAACATAGGTCATTCTTTTCCTGAAAACACACTTCTCTTCAGCTGTGTTTACTAAGGAAGACTCAAGGCAGTAGAGCAGGGAGGGCTGGTCTGCCCACTGGAGAAGAGGGCAAAGGGAAAACAGGATAAATGTTACTGTTCTAGGTCAAGTGAAAAGCTGTGGGGAATTCCAGTCAACTACTTCAACTTTTCATTTAAGAAACATCAAAGAATAATTATAAGACTCTTAAAAGAGGTTTGGAATTTAAAAAGAAATGCCTTAAGAGTAGTTTGCTTTGTTTGAACAATCTTTAGCTCCATCATTCTTTTCTGTAAAGAGGACCTTCTTAGTTACTTGTTCCCCACTTATACCCCATGCCCATTCTTATTTAACAACCTAAATCTTGCATTTAAAAGCAGTCTCCGAAATTGATAAAAGAAATTAATCTATGAAGTTTACCATCACTGTGCTCTTTAGTCTATAATGCCTCAAAATACTTTTATAAATCCTGTAGTTGAGAAAAGCTATGTCCACATATTGGAGAGAAGTTTTTATTTGGCCTGCACTTGACATATTTGTTTTAGTATTTCTCAAAACAAATTTAGGATTTCAGCTATTGAATATGTTACATTTATAGTCTAATCATCCTGTCATAGTTAGATTAATGCCCTATGAGAAGAGATAGCAGAGGCCTTGCTTCTAACTCTGGCTTCTCCTACTGAGACATAGAGAAAAGGTGGCCATCTGTTAACCTGCAAGACCTTCACCAGTGGACTAAATCAGCCCAATGAAAAATCTTGATCCTAGAACTGTAATCCTCCAAAACTGAAAAGTAATTCTGGTTGCATATGCCATTCAGTTTAAGAATGTCTTATAGCAACCTGAGCTAATAATTACTCTATGTTTTAGCTTGGTTATTTGGATTGTAAAAAATATGTTAATTTGAAATTCATATCGCACTACTCCTAAATCTGAGTCAGTTCAAGGTACATTCTGCAGCTTTGGAGAACCTATATGATATTCTCTTGTGCTTGGCCTCTGATAGATATTCTTGAAAGACAATTCAACAGAATCAGGAATCAATCTAGAGACATGCCTTTGCATAGGTCTCTGAGAGGTTTCTCAGGCAGGAGTAAATGGAGAAAGAAGAATTGTCTAGGATGTGTCCCACTTTCCCTGTGAAGGACCAGATATAGAGAGGTACAAGGAAAAAAATTCTGTTTACTTGCCTGCCTTTGCTTCTTCCTGGTGAGTGAATTTATTCTGTTGTTTTGTTGTTGCTACAGTTGCTGCCATTCTGTACTAATACCAGGCCCTTACTTCTTCAGCTTTTTAACACAGACTGAAGGCCATCAGCTCTGCAGGAATCCTCCAGACCTCCAGTGCCAGCTTTGGGTTCCTGAGGTACCCAGCTTCATGGACTGAGTAGTTCTCTAGTTCTCTGCTTCTCCGGCATACTTGAGCTGGTTACGTTTATATCGTCTTGACATAAGTCAGAATCATTTGGGAAGAAGGAACCTCAATTGAGGAAGTAACTCCACCAGACTGGCCTGTGGGCAAACCTGTAGTGCATTTTCTTGATTAATAATTTATGTGGGAGGACCCGGCTCACTGTGAGCAATCCCCCCCCCACACACACAGCTGGTGGTCCTGGGTGCTATAAGTAAACAGACTAAGCACTCCATAAGGAGTAGGCTAGAAGACATCACTCCTGCATGACCTCTGCATCAACTCCTGTCTCAAGGTCTCCTCCTTGTTTTGAGTTCCTTCTGTGATGACCCTGAGTAATGTACTGTGCAATGGAACTGAAAACTGAAATATACCCTTTCCTTCCCAACTTGCTCTTGATCGTGGTCTTTTATCACAGCAGTAGAAACTCTAAGACACTGTTGATTATCATGGTTATGATATCCAGCCACTGTTATGTAAGTCAATCTAATATTCCATTTTTATAATTCATTCTAATAGTTCTCTTCCTTTAGGGAATTCTACCACATTTTCATTTTTACAATACAAACGTATATCAGAACAGCATATTATAAACCAGACATTTATGCAAATAATATATGCAGTCATACCTCAACAAAACAGGGGAAATGTTGGTCAGATAATGCCGATAATTGTTGGGAGTCTTTATCCTACCTGTCAGCTTCCAAATCACAACACAGAAACTTATTACTTATGAAAGCTTGGTCAATAGCTTAGGCTTGTTTCTATTAGCTCTTATAACTTAACCCATTTATATTCATCTGTATGCTGCCATGTAGCTCATGGCTATTACCTCTCCTCCTGTATGTCTTGATTATTCTTTGTCTCTCAGTGTCTCTGCCTTCTTCTTCCCAGAATTCTCTCTGCCCCAAAATCCTACTTAACTATTGACTGTTTATCTCTTATAAAACCAATCCTAGAGACACATCTTCACAGCGTACAAAAAGATTATTCCACAATATCTAATCAATAGTTTTTAATCTGGTACTGAAATTATTTAGTGTGTCTTATATTTTAAACATTCCTCACATAAATTGATCTTCAATAACACATAAATTCCTGGATTTAAGGAACTACTTGATAGTGCAGAAGTAG